AACCGAGTTGGTACGGGATCAACTGGATCGATATTGATACTGATGCTATTGCATGCCGGTGAAGTTAGTGAATGCTGGGAGCTTTCGAGTCGTACTTTGACAGAAACATAAGTAGGCGCCTGTAAAAGAAAAATCACTTAATTTGTCGGTCTAGTAGCGGTATTATGACATCACGATAATACCCACAGGGAGCTGAGTGATATGGACAACTCTCGACCCCTGGGTCCAAAGAGGCGTCGAAAGTATTTCAGACACATTCATCATTGTATAATAAACGAGATTTCAAATGTCATCGTAGTACTTCACGTCGAAAGCGATCAAAAAAGTTTCTCAAGCGCTTATGCACTTAGAAGAGTACGTTTTGGCACGTGCTCCAGGTATGGGTAAAACACAAGCTCAACACTCGCCTGGTGTCATGAGTTTGTATATCACTCAGCATTCTTGGATGTAGAATGATAAGTGATAAGTTATATTACATTTTACCAATGCAGTGGAAGTGGTTGAATAAGAGATTTCTTCTCGATTATCTGCATTTGATGGTTGTCATCATAACCAGGTTTCATACTCATACGTGCTCACAAGATCAAAGTTGTCGACGGTTGGCTGCTCGTGCCAGCATCGGTCCTCTATATTACATAACGAATGAATACACAGCAGGGGTCTATGCTTTGCAGAAGCTAGCCCTCTCCCCCAGTGAAGGTGAAATTCGCGTTCAACTATGGCTCAAATTCCGACTGATTCACATCACCGCGTTATAGATACATATCTTCAAAACAGTCGCTAGAGACAACGCGGGTGTCAGAAGTGCACTCACCTTAGCATATGGTGTTCCTCCTTCTTCGAGTAATTCGAGATAGGGACGTTCTTCGTGATTCAAAATCGCTCCATTAGGAGGAGCGCTAGGCTATGAGGACTGCAAAACAATCTATATCTCTTCTTTGTATTCATCATTATGACGTGTTTTAGATGATGGGAGAGTATGGATGCTGAAAGTTGATTAGAATTCAAACTCACATCCATTCGTATGTAGTCCGGTGTAACGCACAGTCCGATGCAATTGGAAAGAGAGAAATGAATCGTACCATTAGCAAAAAGGATTAGCAAGTGTGATAGCGATGTATAAATGATAGCTGATATTAGTGATTCGTGTTGTAAATGTCATTCACGTGTTGATCAATCATGTATGATATATTACATCGGACACCAATGCCCCTACACGTTAAAGCTTTGCGGCATAAAGAATGATAACGTCCGACAAACTCGACTTTAGTTTAGAAAATTTTTAAAGGAGAATTTGCTTTTATCTCATCTCAATTACAAAAAATTGCAGTATTATCACATTTGACAACATAACACGAGCAAATGCGACTATGGACTCACTGGTCAGAGGTGCCCTACGACGCATACATGATTAATGGTTCAACTCCGCTCTGAAAGCTCACCACTTTCCGGCCCACTTGAATCGACAAATAGATGTCGGACATGTCTGGGAGAATGGCAGCCTTCACTCAATACATGGAAGGCCACCTGGAGCCATTGTGAACACCATATACTTTTCCATAAGCACTAGCGATGTTTAGTGAAGTCGCATGCATGGCGCATCTCTCAAGGAATGACCAACTCCGAGAATTTGCGCCTTTCTACCACGCTTGACATCATCGAAGCAACTGCAACATTAAAACTAGAAAATGCATCAGTGAGGGTTGATGATGCGTAAGAGCGATAAAAGAAGCAACTATAACACTGATATGTGAAAGTCGAGAAAACTTATCTTGATTAGCTGACGCGATGTTGGTAAATTAGTCGTAGAAGTTCGGCTGACGTTTCGGCGACACGCCTTCTTCAGAGCCTGGGCGTATGTAGTACTAGACTAATACTACATACGCCCAGGCTCTGAAGAAGGCGTATCGCCGAAACGTCAGCCGAACTTCTACGACTAATTTACCAACATCGCGTCAGCTAATCAAGATAGGTTTTCTCGATTTTCATATAACAAGCAATTGTGCCGAGGTTTATAGAAAGTGGAACTTTTGAATTGTTGCGATATAACACTGATAGTCTTCAGATCTCGAAGCGAATTTAATTGAGAATATTGTTCGTCTCAACACTCAACCGTAGTTAATCTCTGAACGACGTGAAGAATTGTGCACATTATTCATTGTGCGTGAATGATGCCTTTCGGGAATATGACAAGCATATACAGCAGCAAAACAGTTCATGAAGTTCCGAGCTTCCAGAGAATCACGCCCTCGAAATGCAGGATCAGCGTCTGCATTACAAAAGATGAGCATAGATATAGGACTGGTTTTCTGATGCGGAGAGTTGATAGTAAAGTTGCGAAAGGCGACCTGAGCTATTCGAGTTCGCTATCAATGAATTGTATTAAAATCCAACAGAGATTCGTGGACCATGGAATCATCCGAGCTTGTGAGCCATGCACATTGCGAGAAGAAGACGACGAGTGGGTGACATGCTCGTACATTCCCGAACAAGGGTCATCCATGCGCGAAAGCAGGTCAATCCTCGTTTGTTTTATTTTTCAAAGGAAAACCTCCTGTCTAGCTTTTGTATGCGAAAAGATCTTTTGCGAAATGACGCCATATGGTCTGTGTTCTCAAATGATAGGAATAATGCTGGGTTGTAATCTTACTAAATGGCCACTTTTCGGTCTGGGCTTTGTAGTTAGCGGAGCTTCGTTTGCAATAAAATGTAAGTGTAGTTTGACAGTATACTATATTAAATACATGCAGCTAAAGGCCACTGTTCACTCATTTCATCGCTATCTACAATAGTTCAACGTTTTCTGTATTTATACTTGAAAAGCATGTCGCAACCACGTTGTACGCTACACGCGAAATGACGGGTCAAATAATTATCGATTTTTATCAAATATCGAATGTTCTAATCCATGGCGAATGTCACTTGTGAAACAATCCAGAACATTGTAGAGGAACCTTAAAGATGTTCTATTATCGATAACTGTGACGATTCAACGGTGTACCTCTGCAATTGTCGTTTCTTACAAACTCTAAGTAGTAGCCAACTTCAAAGTTGTATGAGAAATAAGGCTTTTCCGTTATCCGTGCTCCTGTTTCGACCCCTTAGAATAAACGCATTTTTTGGCTGTTACTAAAGGTTATATAGTCGTTTAACATCACAAATCAGATGATTTTATTGTTGTATCTTATTTTGAAAGTAGCTCCAATATTATGACTGAAGCAGTGAAAATGAGTTTTACTTCTCATTCAAATATTTGCCGCTAAGCAAAGCTACATCTGCAGACTTTTAGTTACCAGTCGACAAATCAGATTTCAGAAATTTGAATAATTTATCTGGTTTTCAAACGGACTTTTTAGGGCACTGTAATGATTAAAAGAGGATTACGTTTTATGAAGCTGGATTGCATGCGTTATATGCAGCTTGATTCAACCCTTCAGAAAAAAAACGTATTTTTCTGATTGTTTGAATGTTATGAACTTTTTCAATGGTTTAAATCAAAAAATTGATTTGTAGTTTTTTCGAAATTCTCCCATTATTGTGCTGAAAAGGCAAAAATAAAATTTTGTTTCTCAATCAGACATTTCTCTTTGAACCTTCAGATTTCGAGCAATTAATCGATAATTTAACTATGTCAATTCCAGCAGTGTTCTTGGTTTTTGGAATGGACCTCTTGTTATGCAGTAACAGCTAAAAAAAATGTTAAGTTTTACGCAGCGTGACAGCGACTCAAAACCATCACGATTTGGCAGCATGTGAATAAGATTTTGCCAAACTGGAGTCAAGCCAACATGCCTTTTCCGGTATTTGAATAGAGATTTCGCAACACTCGGCACCAGCTCACCGCACACTGATTGCCTTTCAATTGTTTTTTGCAGGCTTTTATCGAGTTCCTACAAGTATGAGCTTTTATGCGTTACCAAGTACTGAAAAAGATGCAGTCATGTTCCGACAGAAACGTGGCGTGTTACAAACAGAACATTTGTGCAAGAAAGGTTTAGGAAATAGCGTATTGGCTTGGCGCCATTATAGCGAAATTTTATGCACATACTGCCAAAGCGTAGTGATTTGAACCCGATGCCGCGCTGCGCGAAACTTCTCATTTTGTGGCTGCTACAAGGCAACAAAATTTTTTTTTCGAAACCATGAACCATTGAAATTCGACTCGTAAACGATGTAGCAAACCGAATCTTGCGTCGAAAGTACAGATGAAAGCTCCCCACGACCAGCGAAATATCATTTTGACACAGATTATGATAGAGATTTACGATCCTCTATGTAAACTTCAACAAAAAGGTTGCCTCTCTTTATACGACTGCTTTTTTTTAGACAAAACTAAAACATCAACAATTTGATAAGGACATTAAATATTCTGAGCCATGTTTAAGTGCTATACAAGAACTTGTTTCGCCCTACTGCGACTCATCGGTAGCAAGGTCTCTCGGTTCAGCAGTTCCCTTGAGGCTATACTCCTTGATGAAAGAGTCGACGTTGTGCAGTAAATCACCACAAGTCAGATAATGAAAGCACCTAATGTTGTAATGACCGGCAGTCGAGCCTGCGCCTTGGAAGTGAGCCGTACCTTTTCATTCGACCTCTTCCTCATGCCCTTTTTCAGGCCTCACCTGAATATTGTTTAAAATAAAAAAGCGGTGGTGTCATTCTCTTCAAAGCCACAAGTTCGACTGCCGGTCACTGCAACGGCAGGTGCTCCCAGCATCTGACTTGCGATGATTTACTACCAGGCGTCGACTCCTTCATAGAGGAGTATAGCCTTGAGGGATCGACTGAACCGAGAGACGGTGTTACTGATTAGTCGTGGTAACACGAAACTGGCGTTTTTGCAGCACTCAAACATGACTCAAAGCATATTATATCTTTGTCAAAACGGTTGCCATTTAGACGGTACTTCGGAAGACCAACCTCCACTTCACACAACAGTGTTCACAATTCCATTTTAACTTGATATACACCGAAGAGAATTGAGTGGTGGGCAGAAACACGGGTTCAGGCTTGGATCGAACACGCGTTTCATCCATACCGGGGACGCATGCTACTACCACTGCACCGCAGAGAAACATCTGCGCCCTTATTCTCCAACATATCTATGTTAGCTATCAGCCACTAACACTTGAGAGGCTAGGTCGGGTAAGTGATTTCGCTTTAAAAA